CCAAAAGCATTATTTACAACTGCTAACATGGGAAGTTATTACTAAATGCCCCTCACCTTCATTGCATCTGATTTTAAGCTCGCTTATCATACTCAAGTGTGATATCTCATGCCCTTCCAGGGCTTGAGCTGTCCCTACTTGGTATCAACTATAGTACATTATTTTGGAGAGCCTGAGAAATATATCTGTGTGCATATAGACTCCCTCTTGGAGACCACTGAAAGATTGCTTTTGCATATCCACTATGACAGAGATTACATTTACAGTCCTGCTGTGTCATGCTTGCACTGAGAACTAGTCTAGTAAAAAACATAAATATTGATATAAATTACCAAGATCTTGTAGTCTTTATTGAGATGAGTTTCCACAAAAAAGAGATGGAAAATTTTCCTAGACTAGGGATTGTAGGAATCAAGCCAAATTTACAAGGATTAGGTTTTGAATGGTAAGATACTTTCTCTTTTTGGTTTTTTTTGCTTTATGCCCATCTTGCTACAGCTATAACTGAATGTGTTAATCAAAATTCTATAGAACTGTACTCATTTGTGCGTGTGTTTACTTTTCATTTACATAATTATCTTACAAAAGGAGCATTTCTCCTTTGTGCTAGATGTCTTACAATGTAATTTAAAGCCACAGTTACCAAAATATCCTATTCCAGCAGTCCCATCACTATCGGTTCTATAGCCCAGTCATTACCATAAATTATTTTACAGGATCTAAATATACATTTCCAGTCTCATGATGTCCAGACAGTCCTTCAGTCAAAGAAATTAAATGTTCCCTGTGATGTGTCCTAAGAATTTGCATTTTGGCACAAACAGGAGAAATATCCAAAACTTAAAAGGCCTTCACAGAAAAATCAGGAAACAACTATAGAATGCCTTAATTTAAAAAATAGGATTTGAGTGTTTGAAACACAGGAAATGCTTATGGAAATGAGCAAGAACAAAGAGTGATACATATCAGCATAATCAGTGCAAAGCTACAAATGCATTGTACTATTAGATATGTATTTTAAAGAACATACAGACTTGATAAAGCAGAAAATCAAAAGTTCAGCTGGCAATAGGTGGAATGGAATAGAGCAACTGAGATAGCATGCATTTTCAAAACAAACAAACAAAACCCAAACAAAGTCAAGAATGAAACAGGTCTTCTCAGTCACCTCTGAGGGGGCCAAGAGGGCACAAAATCCCAAGCAGCTTACAACAAGCATTTCTCTCTTGGCCTCTGTTTATTCTGTGACTTCTGTTTTGAGGAGACAAGCAGCTATCACTAGTCTGTAGCCTACGAATATTGTCTAAGAATTTCTGACCTCAGTATGTGCAACCACAGTCCTGTTTAAACTCAGCACAGAGTGGTTTGCAGGCCTGGGGTGGGCCAGTCCCACAGAAGATGGTCTTGCTATAGGACACCAAACAGCAGGATTTTAAACACTTCCTAAACAGGGATGAATACTTTTTTGCATCCTTCCACCTTCTGCCTAGACGAGTCATTGAATATCTGTACCACCCTTTTATACTATCTCAAGAACCTGACTCGCCAAGATTATTGTAGGGCAAAACTCACCAATATTGGTGAAGGCAAAACTCACCAAGATTATTGGTGAGGGCAAAACTTCCTATTTCTAGCAATTTCTTCAATTTGTATAAGGATGTGAGCATGCCTGAATTGGAGGGTTATAGAATAAAAATAAACACATCTTTAACTAGACTGCTCTTTAACAAAGGTGAAGTAGAATTCTTGTGAAGTCGCACAGCATAGTTTTGAATAATCTCCGGAGACAGTAATATGCTGACCATTTGGAGAAGTTCTGTACCTAATGCAGAGTTTGAGGTTGATATCAGATAACTTCTGGTTTTATATCTCTTGTGCTTATTACATACAAAGCAAAGTACAAAACCTGTGATACAAAGAAGTCTCTCATTGGCCTGCAAAAGCCAGCTCACTCTCTAAAGACATTGTTCTTTAAGTACAAAAATCAGAAGTACAGAAAATGTAAATAATTATTTTGTTACCTAAATTTTATAAAACGTATTGATTGCTGTAATTCCTTCATTTCAAATGTCTGAAGATTGTTGTTACTTATTTCCTTTCTAGACTACTAAAAATCTAACTTATTTACTGTGACACTCCTTTGATCATCATATAGTTATATAATTACACAGTTCAACTGAACAAAAACACCACTGAAACTGTTTACTATTTCTAATGAGCAATTTTTAAAGTTCCTCTTCTTTTTCCACACTGGATAGTTAAAGGCTTTATCCATTTCAACGGATGGCTTCATCATACTTTTTTCTAAAAGAAAAACATAAACTGTTTTCAGCCCATTCACACAAAGTCTTGGTGTATAATATCAAAATCTTTGATTTGTTGCATATGCATTGCAAAATGTCATCTTGTCCTTTTTCTAATGGCCATGGCCAGAGTACACTTATGATCATGGCTGATTTAAGTCACTGATTTCTTCACACTCAAAATCACTGAAGTATACAAAAGCAGAGAAGTTCTATTGAATTTTAATTTTGAAGAGCGGTATCTCAGACTGAGCTTTCTTTTTTCTCTGAAAGTCAATCAGATTAGTAGTGTGCACTCATGGAGCTCTCAATGAATATAAACTAGAAGGAAGTTGCCTATGTGCTATGCAGAATTGTACAGGCAACTCTCAGTTGTATGTGGGTGTGTAACCCAGGTTGCAGATTAGCAGTGCTGTGCTAAAACAAAGCAGAAAAAAAAGGAAAAACACCCACCATTCTTCTTTGGATTTCTGATCTCACTTTTACTTGAGTTTAACTCCATTCCTTGATAAATGTAATACACATGGAAAGTTCTTATCTAATGTGGACATGCTTTGTATTACCTGGGTGTTAGCTTTATGTGGGTTAGTCTATTCCATTGCTAGTTTCAATAATTAAGAACTGACTGTGCAACTATGCAGAAGCCCAGCAGCCTAGAGGTTTATTAAACATTTGCTAAAAACCAAGTACTTGCCAAAATATCTCCCTAACTCACCACAAAAATCATCAGAGTTCCCTTTAATATTATTTTTAAACCCATGAGTGATAAAAACCTGCTGCATTATTGGATTCCTATTAATATAAATAAAATTTTGAGATGCTTGAAAGTCGAAGCAAAAGCAAAACAAGTGAGCAAACACAATGCACTTAAAAGCAGACAGACAGAATGGACTCCTCTGCCTCCAAGGTCTAGAGACTGAAAAAAGCCATTTTATAATAAGATTTTTTAGCTGTACCAAAAACCTTGACTTAATTGGCTAACTGTACATTTTATTCATTTAGAGGGTAATTAACGCTGATTATGCTTTTAAAATACAATGTGCTCTTGGGCAATGCAACAAAAACAGTGGTTTCCTTGTGAAAAATTTGTGAGAGGGAAAATTGTTTCCTGCTGCCCCCTCTCCATTCTCATTTTTGTTTGCATAACACAAACAGCATCTACTTCATGAGCAAAGCCAGAGGACAGAGGTAGCCAGCGTGCCAGCCAAGTGCCCTGAGAGCCACCGAGGCAGCTGGAAGGAGCTGGCAGTGCCTCTCCATCCTCAGGAGGGAACACAGACACTGGCAAACCCTGGGAAGCTGCTGCAGGAGCTTATCTGCTGGGCAGGAGGGGCTGAGGCACTTCCCAAGGAGCAGGAGAAATACAAAACCAAGCGTAGGGAACATTTGATCCTGTACAAGGACTCATGAAGAGGCTGCCAAAGGGCCATGGGGCAACAGAGGGCAGGAAAGGAACAGGGGCAGAAAGCCTTTCTTTCAGGGAATCTGTTTTTTTTTTTTTTTCCTCTCTCATTAGAAAATTTAAACTTTTGACTTAACATTACCCATGAACATTATAGATCAATGCAGATATAAAATATTGTCATATTCTTTGCTATTCTGAAAAGCAAGGACTAATCTACCAGCCCTGTATTCTAGCTTTGGCAATAGCTTAACTCCTGTACTAAAATGAAAGCAAAAGGCTCCTCATACTGTGACACAACAGTGAACTGAATTGGAATGAACCTTCTTGCTCCTTTGAATTTCTACCTTAATACATTAGTTTTGATGTGCTGACTAGGATCAAAATGACACTGATGGCAAAAAGTGCAAGCACTGCTTTAATTCATGTATACATTCAGTTCTTTGAGGAACCTTTCTAAACTACTTGACATCCTGCATCAGTGTGTAATCATCCTGTATCCACTGAGTAATAACATTGCATAAAATGCTACTTTATTTGTTGGATTTTAATTTCACTGAACATCCCCTTGTCCTTTCAACACTGGAGAAAAATAAAACTAAATACTTCTGTCACAAGATTTCTTACTGGCACAATTCTTTAAAATCCACTTAATAAAAACTACCTGCCCTTTCTCAGGTAGCAATACAGTATTGTCATATAGCCAAAGGAATTATATTCATGTCAAAAGAAAAACATTTATCAAAATATTTGCTTTCAGATTTGTTTACTGTTTATTATTTTAATTTACATCAGTTGCTCCTTGCAAAACTTCCAGGGAAATAATTTAAATTTTCTTTTCTTTCCCACTGCATAGTAAATACAGCCTTCTTAGTATTTCAGAAGTATAGTACTATAGAAATGTTAGGGCCTGCTTCTGCTCCAAATGAAGTTAATGGGAAAACACCAACTAACTTTATTAAGAGTTAGGTCAGGCCCCAGATTTGCAGCTTTTGAAATTTCATAGTTGAAAATTTCTGGCTAATCATCAGAACTGACTACTTCTACAATTATATACTATTTACAACTTTATTTATATGTACTTTATTACAATATGTAATATCAATGTTCCTTGTAAAGGTTACTATTTTAAAGAAATTAGACTGAAGTTATTGCCAATCAACCTTTTAATAAACTTAAGTGGGATGACTTTCAGAATTTTTCTCAACATATGATTCAGTTTTTATTCACTCCTTCTATCTTTGACAATTGCTTAACTACCTTAATTTCAAAGCCTTTTCCAGTGTAATAAAATGTCCTTTTGGTAGAAGTTTATTGGTCCCATTTCAAATTACGTTCTGAAACATTCCTACACTGATGAGGACTCATTGTTTTAGCATTTTTTCTGTTTCAACACAGTATATAAAGCCATGCCTCTCACCAATCAACCTCAGTATAAAAGTGTAAGTGAGGTCAAACAGATCACTCACCAAATCTTTGATCAAGTTGTCTGATCACATACAGACACAACTGTCTGAATTGTTGCATATGTTATATAATGTTATCACACAAATTTAAGCATTTCCATTATTGACTGCTACTTGTGTATGCATACGTTAACTTGCTGGTCATAAAACTGCAACAAAGGACAAGATATACCAATACTGAATTCAGACCTCTAGTCTTGTCTCTCCCAAAATTAAGAAAAATCTGTGTTCTTTATGACTGATCAACTCATGGTTTTGTGCTTCAGTTATACACATTTTCCAAAATTAAACTGTGAAGTTAATGTCAAATACTGTGTTGTAACTTTAAATATAACTGACATATTAGAACAGATAGATGGGTAATTATGATAAACTACACAATAGTGCTACTGCAGATAATATCATTTATCAATCCTGTGGTCCCCATCATTCATGCATTTACAGTTTGGGAATACAGTGACTGCAAAGGATAATAATTCATAATGGCTACATTCTCAGTTCTTCATGCTAGCTCACTAGACAAAATAAAAAAGGTTAATTGTATAACTGGAAAAATGTAAAATTTTATTCCAAGAAAATTAACAAGCTACACAGGTAAATTTTGGCAAATGCAACTTTATATTGAAATCCACACATCTGTATCTTAAAGAAGGAAAGACTCACAGACTCTAATGTATTTCTAAAATACTAAGAAATCATAGTATATGCTTTCACAAGTTAAAACTTAAATAATTTAAAACAACCAATACACCAAAATGTGCAGAAAATATAAACAAGACTGTGCCTTCAGTAGAATAAATGCTTCACAAATTGTGCAAGATATCATACTAAGGCTGCGGTCTCCCCATGACAGCTGTCTTAAAATATAAACATACATCAACTGCCTGTGTTTCTCAGAACAAACTAGAAAGGGCGGCACACCTAGAAAAAAATCATATAATCCCAGTGATGTGCATATTGATTTTGGGAACCATTGGAGTAAAAAGGAAAAAAGAGGACTAAGTGATCTTTCATGCACTCCCAAATGACTGACCAGAGTTATTGATTCAATTTTCCTTGCTTATTTGCTTCAATGCTAAACAAAATGGAAGATACTAGATAACCCTTTAAGGCAACATGTGTTTATTCTGTATAATTATAACTGTTCAATTATGACTGGATATTATCATTAACGTTGCCTAACAGACTGATATCTAGCTTTTTAAAAAATATAAATAAGAGTCTATTAAACTTTATACCAAATCAGCAAAAAACACAGAATACAGTTAAATGTTAGTAATTTCACTGTTAAGGAAAATGGTAATTAGAAAGAGTAATATATTTGGAGAAAAAAAAATTAACGTCAAAATCTGAACAAAAATACTGCTTTGGAATGCTCCCCAAAACTTACTCACAAGGCAAACAGATTTGTAAGTGTGATAATCCAATAATGCATGGCACATCTTTAATCAGTTACAGTACTCGAGTCCCCAGTTTTCAGTCTTTGCAAAATAATAATTGTATGAAATGTTTTAAAGGTCTTCAGATGTCTAAAATTAGTTTTATCAACACATTAACCTCATATCAACTTAATTTATTAAGATGTCCAATGCTAATCTTTTTGATGTTCTTATTTTATGTAGTGATATACACAGCATTTAGCACTGATACTTAGCACCTGCTACTTTCATAATCTAGATTTCAACCACATAAAGGAATTCAGGGCAGTAGTTCAGTCCTTTGTTCTTAATTACAAACCTTCAGCAGTGGTCAGCAGGAACATGTTTAGGTTTAAAACAGGATTAGAGGTGAGCTATTGCAGAGACTGCAGAATGTTGCCCAAATCCTTACAGCTGCTGACGTCCCATTCTTGATTTTCTCCTCAAGACATGGCTACAGGCCACAATTGCTTAGCAGAGAATGGTAGTGTTTCACAAGGCTAAAGATTTACAGATGCTCCCTCATATAACACAGTAAGGTTCCCTTGGTAACCTGGATTTTCTGCAGTAAAGAAGGGTTGTGCTGAAACAGCGCCTCAGCTCCCTGTTGGAGAAAATGCAGACAAAAGGATTGATTCCAGCTTGGGCAAAACTCATCCAGACAGCGGCCGTTAGAAATCCCCCAGGTACCACAGGCCCTCTCGCAAAAACTCTCCAGTAGCAGGCTACCAAATAGGGACCCCACAAGGTCAGAAAGAGGAATGTCATGATGTAGAACATTCTGCTGATTCTCTTCTCCATTTTGAATTCGTCTAAAACCAGTAGCCTCCTCCTGCCTGTGGTGTTGGCGTTCTGCCTGATTCCCAGCAAGGTTGGAGGCGTGGGACCCCTTCCGAATCCAGCCAGCCAATTCGCAGCCGCCTGACCGCTCGCTCCGGGACCATGGAAAGTCCAGTTCTGGCTCACTGCTGCAACAAACTGGACTGGCTTCATTTTCCTGCGATCGTGAACAAAAAATATCAGCTTGAGGTAGACAAGCTGTGTGGCTAGGAGGATAAGGGCAAGAAGAAGCATAAATCCCAAGGAATCATTAGCCCTGAAGGAACGATGCTGGAAAGTGCATTGGTCTTCTTCCCTAATGAACGAGTAGGTGCCCACATCTAGAACTGGGGGGAAAGCCATGGCTACAGAGAGAGTCCACACCATACAGATAACAGCCAGACAAGTCCAGAAGGTCAGTCTCTTTGTATAAAAACGGTGGTGGGCAATAGCTAAGTATCTCGTGACGCTTATGCAGAATAACATGAAAGCGGTGTGAAAGCAGGACAAAACCCCCAAAAAGGCAATCACTTTGCAAGTAAGAGTCCCATACGTCCACGTAGAGCCATTTTTTACCGAGGTGAAAACAAAAGGGAAACAAATTGCAGATCTGAGGATATCTGAGCAGCAAAGATCCAACAGGAAGTAGTAAGGAGCTCTATGCAAGGTCTTATCTTTGACTAGCAAAATGGAGATCAGAAGGTTACCCACCACACTGACTCCTATTATGAAACCCAGTGAAGTCAGTTTCAGAAAAGCTGTTAAAGGAGAGAGATTTTGCAAAATGTTGTCAGCTGCATGGCTGTAGTTCGCCATAGATGGATGGATGATATGTATATTGCCTCAGTCAAGTCTCATGATCTATATTTAAGAACAAGGAAAAAATAGATCCATACATCTTACTGAAAATGTAATCCACAAACAGAACTGATCTTGTGTCTAGTCATACAGTACATCCTCTTCTTTCTGATTTGTCATGCCATCAAAATATCTGAAAAAAAATCGAGCTATCAGTTCTTAAGTTAACACAAAATGATGTCAGAAAGTGCTAGCAAAGATGTTAATTTATGGAGAACCGAATGAAGTTGTAAATTTGAGTACTATTGTTTGTTTCTAAAAAAACACGAGGTTTTTTTCTTTTTTTTACTGACTATTTAGTATAATTGACTATTGGCAGATTTGTTACAGTTTCACGACTGACCAGTGCCCCTTATATTTGGTAGCACATATAATTTCACAGTTAAAGCCTCAGAGATTTTGTGAATCAAAAGATTCCCAGTTTGCAAGCCCAAGAGTTAATCACTGACATCTTTTTTAAAGAATCCCCAAAGACTGCTGATATTTTGACATTACCTACATTTATTTTATGGCTACAGTATTTGTCAATGTTTTAAGAGGCAACTGCTGTGTTGATATGGATCACACCCAAAGAAACCCTGCAGAATTTATGTTTTTTAACCCAAGTCACCAAAGCACATTAATCACACAGTGTTAGTTTATGCATTTTGTAAGAGAAACAGTATTCACTACCCCCCTCCCTTCCTGCTATAAACAATAATTTTATCGTTTAGCCTTTTCGATAAACAGGTATCTAGACAGTCGATAGCAGTATGCTTTAGGGTGTCGTCCCCCCCGGCCTCCCCCCCTTCCCCCGTGCTTTAATGCAAATCGTTAAAGCCTCGACATAATTCATAATAAGCGACGGTCAGTGTAAATACTGAGCAAAAACAGGCAGCACAGCCCAGATATAATGCCCACCCTTTCGGGAGAGCTGGTTTTGGTTATGCTTAAATAAACATATAAATTGTTGGTTTTTTATTTTTGGTTGTTTTCCTTTTTTTGCTAATTAGGGCTCCATGATTCCCATTAATCCTCCCAGTGAATCGTACCGGAATACATTTCATGCAATAAAATATAATAAAGAGCTGTCTGTTGCTGCTTTTATTTTTTTTTTTCGATTTTGTTTTGTTTTTCTTTTTTCTCCCTCCAGAGCCAGGCACAGGAGCCACAGCGGGCATGATCAGGCTCCTTCGTTATTCACACGAAGTGTTTCCTATGCCACCTCGGGTGTACAAAGGATATTCCCACTGAATCCCAGCAAAATCCTTCCATTCTTACCGTCCACAAAAGAGCCTGATTGCTGCTGTGTAAACAGAGGCTGATCAGATCATGGCATCGTTTTAGAACCATGAAATCAGGCTCCCCCTCCCCCTGCCGCCAGCCC